TAGACACTAGTCTGCTCCCAGTTTTGAAAATATTTTAACTACAGGCCACTTTGTGATAGAAAGTGACCTACTTGGAATTATTGAGAAGTTCCGGGTAGGCTCACTCGTTTGTAACAGCTGCAAGTTGAGTCACAAGTACATTCCACAGGTGAGCTTCAGTTCTCTGGCCTGAGAAGTATTTGTGAGAAGCTCGGAGGGCCTGGCCTTCCTCCAGCCCTGTGCCCAGCCTCCCAGCTCCTTCCGCACTGATCCACTCCCGCTAGTCTTCTGGAGCAGCAGGATTCCGGATTTTCTTGTGTAGCTGTCTTTTATGGGTCTGGTACCCGATATACAGCTCACCCCAAGAAGATGGGTCACAGTGTAGTTTACCCTTGGGAACCTTGAGGGTTTGCTGCCAGCTCTAAACTGGCTTTGTGACATCTCAGGTTGTTTCCCCTGAGACTAGGTCTTGCCTTGGTAAAAGGTGTGTCTATTCCTCCTCTTTTTGCCTCCATTGCCTTCCTTCCCTCTCAAACCTATACTTGGAGCAAACTGTTTAACAAATAAGCTTGTTTATTAAGCTTGTAGCAATACCTTTCCTCCACTTTTGCAAAGACTGAAGACCCAGCACCAGCCATTAACCATGGATAATCCCTGTCCATGCTAAATTAACAAAACTCAGGCAGAATGAAGAACAACAGTGGTTCGTTCATGGCTTGAGCCCAAAGTTGGACACATCAGTGTCTTTCAGTGGTGGGACCTTAACCTTAGCATCCTCACCTAAAATGGAGAGGTCAGAGAGCTTCTGTTTCTTAAGTTTGTATCTTCCTCATTTAATAAAACAATACTCTACTGCACTAAGACAATATCCTCATGAGTAATAGCTGTTACACATCCGTGAGTGTCCTGACTCAGGACAAAGATAGGACTTGATTTGATTGATTGATTCGTCTGGCAAATATATAGTGGTTCCTGCTGTAGATCAGGGACTGTCCTGCCCTCTGGGGGTACACTTGTGAGTGAGAGGCCCCTGCTTCTCAAGGTATGTATTCTGGAAGGAGAGGCGCAGTGTGAGCTAGTTAACAATTAAGGAGATCTAAGGGTATGATAAGCACTGTGCAGAAAATAAACAGACATGTGATAGCATCCCGGGTGGGGCTGGATGGTATTCAAGAGGAATGTGATGGGTGAACCCAGACCTGAGTGATAAGAAGGAGCCTGGCACTGAGAACTGAGGGGAGGGTGTTGCAGCTAGGGCTAGCAGGGGAATCCGTCACACCTCAGAGATACTAAACCGGCTCTTGGGTACCCTGACATCCCTTCTTGGACCCTTTCAGGCCAAGCAGTCATGGAGAAGGACTCCTGGGATATGCTAAGCCAGCAGTTAGGGCAGCTGTCTGGCCCTTTACAGAGAAGAGTGCTGGCCCACCGTGAGAGCCCGCGCACTCACAGTGCCCCCCATGGACACAGGGGCAGGGCAGCCCGGTGCCATAGGGAGACCTCTTGGCTGCTCCTGGCAACACAGGCACTGTCACTGTCCCTCCAATGCCCTGGAAGGCATCCACTTCCAGCCTCTGCGCGGCTGAGCCCACTGTGGCCATGTCCCAGGTGGTGTGGGATGGACTGAACGCTCCCAGAGGCCAAAAGGCTGGTTTCACTTAAAGGTTCCTTTTTAGGAAGAAAGAGAAAACAGGTCCCAATCATGGCATCCTTTTATCTGGTGCTCACCGTGTGCTCTTTCAGGCCCTTTTATGAAGAGTTCTGCATCTTGTTGACTGCACCCTAGAACTACCCTAGCTGATGGGAACTACCTTTATTCTAAAACTGACCCCAACTGTAATATGCTTTGTGCTCAAGGCCATTCAATGGCAGCTGGGCTGGCTGCTTCTCTCTGTCACCCTCTTTCTGTGTCTGGGGGTGCAGAACAGGGGCCCATAAATGGCACCTTCTCTGGCGGGAAGGGCTTAAGGAGAGGATGCAGTGGAGGTCAGCGCATGCTCGCAGCATCTTCTCACCTGTTCTCTTCCTCGGGGCCGTGTGCAGCTCTTGTCTGGTGATTATCTGTGGACATCACCGCTGGTCTGGGTTCAGCTATAGAATGGCAGGACCCGCCCTGTGTCCCTTGGCCCCGGCTGGTGCTGGCTCCAAGAATGGCTTGAGGGCTCAGGGAAGTTTTCTCTCCTCTGCTGGCCTCAGAGGAATAGGAGTTGGTGCCAGTGGGAGGAACGCCCAGCCGTGGTTGATACAGAACCATTGTCAAGCTTCATGGCGGTCTTGCTGCAGAGGCTGGCCCCGGGAGAAGCTGTCCGTGACTCTGCGGGCAGGGGCAGCCTTGCCTGCAGCCACGAGTGGCCACGGGATGAGGTGGGGCCAGTGGGGGCTCAGGGACCCATGAGGGAATCAAAAGGCCAGAAAGGAAGAGTGGACCCCAGTGCGGGGGTGGGGGGAAGGTGGCAGAGAGGGCACTGTGGAGGAACAGGCCCAGCGCTGGCATTTCAAGGACCTGGTGGTAGTGCCTTTGAGTGGTCTTAGCTGTGTGAGCAGAATGTGGAGGGGCAGGGAGGGGCTGTGGTGCTAGGCCGCTGGGCTCAAATGCCCGTTCCTACGCTCACTGGCTCCGCATAGCCGTTCTGTGCCTTGCGTTCCTAATCCTGGGTGGTTGTGATGTTGAGTGGACATGCGTGGCCCCTCAGCACTGTGCTAGGTGGGGAGCACAACTCCACGAACCCCAGCTCTGCTAAGGCAGCTCACCTCTGAGCCCTAGTTTCTCGACTGCAAAATGGGACCACGATGCTCTTTTCCTGATGGCTCCTCTGAGGACTACCTGAGTGAACGTACTTACAGCAGCGGTGGCAGCAGACTGCCTGGCCTCAGGGGACCCCTGTCGGTGGCACCTGTTGGATGGAGATGTTTGCCAGCAGGCAGAGTGACAGCTGCTCCTAGCAGCCCTGCCTACATATCCAGACCGGGCAGGCGGAGGGTGCTGATGCCCAGCTCTGTTCTACCTTTAACACCGGATTAAGTGGCCCATGTTGTTGGCTCCTTAGGAAGGCTGCTAAGTTTCCCTGCTGGGGCCTGCCAGTCTCTGCTGCCTTGTAGTCACCAAGCCAGAGTGGCCTCGGGGTGCTGGGCCACTAGGGCCTCCTGAGTATACTGCCCTCTTTTTGCCTTGCTTTCTTCCTTGCCTTGCTTTCTTCCTTCTCCTCTTCCTTTCTTCTTCTCCTCCTCCTCCCTCTTCCTCCTCCTCTTCTTTTTCTTCTCTTCCTCCTCCTCTTCTCCTTTTCTTTCTCCTTCCTCCTCTTCCTTCTTCTCTTTCTCCTTCTCTTCCTCCTCCTCTTCTCCTTCTTTCCTTCTGCTCCTCTACCTCTTCCTCCTCTTCTCCTTCTCTTCCTCCTCCTTTTCTCCTCCTTCTCCCCCTCTCCTCCTCCTCCTCCCTTCTCCTCCTTCCTCCTCCTCCTCTCTGTCTCACTCTGTCTCCCTTTCACTTTCTCCTTCCTTCCTTCCTTCCTTCCTTCCTTCCTTCCTTCCTTCCTTCCTTCCTTGTTTGTCTTTCTTTCCCATCTTTTCTTCTGGAAGATATGTTAACACTATTTATTACAATTTGGACATTTTATTTTATTTTGTTTGATACCAGGAATCAAACTCAGGACCTCGCACTTGTCAAGCAGGTGCTTGTGCTACTGAGCTCTCTCTCTGGCCCCAATTTGGACATTTTAAAACTTTATCACCTAATAATTTCATTTTAAATAATGTGTCCAGTGGAAACACGAAAGTGTGAAAAATATCAACATGAATACCCATTGCAATGGCAGAGTATAAGGAGGGACAGGTCAAGATAAGGATAGAGAATCCTGCGGAATTCCAGGCCTCTTGTTTCCGAGACTCAGCGCTCTTCTGCCTTTGGGTGTTGTCCCTTCCATGGCTTCTGTGTGCTTTGCTGGATTGTTTCATTTTTCCACAGCTAGTTTGGGCTAGCTTCCTGTCTCTGGCAGAGGGGTGTAACAAAGGAGAAGTATTATCAACCAAGAGCAGGGAGGTGCCAAGTCCCCCTTCATGGATGATGAAGAGATGTAGGAAAGGATGAGCCAAAACACTGTTTCCCAGAACCATGAAGCCAGCAGGACTAGTAGGAGACTGGGGAGACAAAGAATTCAGAAATGTGGCAACAAAAGTCCCCCGAATATGGAGTCCCCTCTTATTTCTCTGACGACAGCGGAGCATTTGCCTGTGCCAGGCACATGGCTTGAGATGCATGAGCCTGTGAGAAGGCTACAGAAGATGGGTGAGCACACTCGAAGGGTCATTCACCCTCACCCAGAAGTGGCACCATGGAGCGAGGGGTGGCCCTGGCCTACAGATGCCTCTCTGCACTTTTTCCAGCAGGCTCTGCACATTTGGTCAATGCTTGGCCCCAGAGCCAGATGTCTGGTTCAGCTTCTGGCTTTGCCGTGTCCCAGCCACAACAGAGGCTGGATATGTTTTGCTGTGAATGTAGACTTAAGTGGGCCTGGTTCTAAATGGCTGTGAGTTTTACTGGCTTTGCTGTGGCGAGGGCACCCAATACGACAGGGCTTAATGGTTTTAAGAGTTACCAAGCAACTAGAAAGAAAAAGAGAAAATGATAAAAATGAACTCCTGTTGCTGGATGCCAGGTTGATTGTGCCTTGTAGCTCTGCTTTTTCTCCTGTGCATGGCTCGGAACTTTTTAGCTTTCAATATATCTTGGCCCAGCCCATGTCAGAGGGTTCATCTCTCTGTTCCTCTTCAAGGAAGTGAGATTCTTGTGATGCTACATTTTGGTCTTGGAAAAACCCATGATTTCTGCTGTCCTGAGGGGAAGACAGGTGTCTGGCCACCCTCACCCTCTCCTTAATGGCTCAGAGGTCCTTGCTGGGGACAGGTCCTGCCAGGCCACCATCACCAAAGCTCAGGAAACGAGAGCTCACAGGACCAGTGATGGAGAGAAAACTGATGTAAAATGTGCTATAATTTGTCATATCAAGAGATGCACTCAAAACATGTACATTTCATTCTATAATGTTACCTTAAAAAACCCCAAGCATCTGGTCAGGAGAAATAAATTGGAGATGGAGGAAGACAAGGAGGGATGTGGTAGGCACTGAAGGTGGAAGGAAACCTGAGTTCAGTTTCGTGTTTGGGCCCTGAGGCCGTGGTGAGCTCTTCTGATTTGGAGTTCTGAGTGTCACAGAAAAGTGGGAAAAACTGGCAGGGGCAAGGGAACGACACCAGGTAGGAGCTCTAATGTCAGGGTCACGAGGCGTGATGGTGACTTAGGTAAGAGGGCAGTCCAGAGAAGGTGAAAGCTGGCTGGACCCTAGGCTTGCTGTGAAGGGAAGGTGGAAAAGACGTATGGGTGAGAGGCTGTGAGGTGAGGGAAGAAAGGAGTCAAGACGGATCCCAGATTGTTCATCTAAGCAGCTACAAACATAAATTGATGGGGACAGTCACACAGGGTGGGGCACAAGGGGCTGTAGATCTGCTGCCTGGGAGATGCTAGTGAGAAGAACCGGAATTCAGTGGCTGACGACTGTGGGAGTCTGGGGTCCAGGCAGCTTCAGGGTCGGAGTAACTTGGAGTATCATCCACATAAAGTGATAGTAAAGCCAGCGAAGTAGATGATATCCTGGAAAAGAAGAGAAGAAGCCGAGAGCAGAGCCAGGCCGAGGTGCCGAGCGTGAGGGCGCGGTGGGAGGCATGGGAAAGCAGGGCTTGTGCACAGTAGCTTGTAGCTTCATTTCTCCTCACCATCTCTTCATCATTGCTCTCAAACCAGTTGTTGTAAAGTAGAACTTCCATTCTATTCCAAACCTATAACAGCCAAAGAGGAAAATAAAACCCAAACTAAGTCTCGTCTCCAAGGTCCTCCTGGGACTGGCTCCGTCTCCCTGACCTGCCAAGTCTTCCCTTCCCCACTGTCCCCAGCCCCGCTCCAGCCCCTCACTACCTGGCATTGCCTCCCCTTCTCAGCCCACCCTTCCTTCTGTCTCTAGTTCCGCTGCCTCAGTTTACTCCTGTTCCGTCTTCTAGAGCAGGCTTTCTTGAACAAAGTCAGCTGTCTGTTCCATCCCCCGTTTCTACAGCCTCACAGGTTGCCGCAGACAATCCAGCACTCCGTGTCTGTTCTCCTCCAGTCCTCACCCAGTCAGCTTGATGAGGGGTCAGAACAGAAGCCTGGCACCCCACAGAGCTGTCTCCTTAGTCCTAGCATAGTTTAGACGGGAGGTAGAACAATAATCCGCTCCCATGTGACCCTCTGTGGAAACCTGGATGAATTCGCATAAGGTCACCATGAGCCTTGACTCTGAGATCAAAAGCTAGATTCTCACCTGGGTCCGACAGCCACAGTCGGGTCATTTCCTCCTCCTGAGCTCCAGCTTTCTCATCTTCCCAGGGACCATGAACACCTATCATAAGCAGCAGTACACAGTGGCTCCACTTTTATTATTATTATCATCAGTACTAGGATTGCTGTCGCTCTTCCTGCAAGGGTACACAAGCATCCACAAAGTTAGGACTGAGTTGGCACTTGGGAGGTGCCTGCTAATGCAGGCTGGGCTGGGGTGGCATTCATAGCCTGCTTTGGGGGAGCTCACGCTTAAGTGGAGAGAGGGCAAGAGATATGACCAGCACCAAAGGTCAGCCCTGGCCATGAGGACGGCGCTTGCAGGGTCCGGCCAATGCACCCACACTCACAAGAGGAGGACACGGCATTTCAGGCGAGACTGTCCCCACCACCTTGGCCTCTGCTTCTGGTTTCATATGAAGTTGGAGCTCAGGCTCAGGCTAGAAGGGAGGGACAAAACAGTGGAATGTTTCTCAGGAGAGCTGGAGTCATTTTTCTAAAGAAAGTACAGAAAATAGAGGATACTCTTTCCATTTCCTTCCTGTACCTTCTGGGTTTTGTAAGTGATGTGTGACTGTTACTTGCGAATGACATGGAAGGACCAAGATGCAGGAGAGAGCTGAGACCCAGGCAGGGTTAGTCAGATGAGGTGTGGCTCCCTAGCTGGGAGGACCAGAAGAGCTCTGCCTGGCCACCCTTCTCAGAGACCCCTCCCCATGTAGGACTTTCTGTGGCCACTTGGCTAGATGGCCTGCAGGGTGAGGATGTGAGCTGGGCTCTCATGCCAAGTCCCTACTCTGCATGTGAGTGGCACACTGGATTGACAAAGTCCCCACCCTATGATTCTGAGTAAGCTGTCTTTGCTATTGGCATTACAGCAGCAGCCAGGGCCTCGGGTTTAACTAGGTAAGTAGCTCATCCTGGCAGCCAGTAAGGCTCCAGAGCCTCCCAACGAAGCATGGTTGCATGGCACGTCCCTGGCACCAGAGCATGATCCAAGGGCGTTGCTGCACGCAGGGCGACAGCACCAGGCAGGATCTCCAGTGTCCAGCTTGCTGCTGGGGCCATGAGTTCGCCACAGAAAGCTTTCAGTGTCTGAGCCCAAGCTCCGCTGCTCTGGCACCTGCTGAGTGGCCTCTCCACGCCGCCCGGCCTGGGAATTTCCTGTGTGGAAGATGTGAAGTGCCCCGGCCTGGGCTCAGCTTTGTCCTTCCCTGCAGAGACCCTGAGAGCTCGGTCTAGGCTCTGGCTCCGTTCAGAAGGCCATTACGTGTGCCGTGTGGAAGGGAGGAGGTGGCCTCGCTCTGTCCGCTCCGCTTCCCCAGCCTTGGACCTTGCTCCCAGACCAGCTGTTAAGAGCACAGACCTTGGACCTACACTTCTGGGTTCAGATCCAAACTTGGTCACTCATCACCTTGGAGTGACTTCTCATCCTCCTTGTTTCCATTTCTAACTCAAAATTGCTTAACTTTTCTATGTCTGGGCGTCCTCACTTACAGAGCAGGAATGATACTGCTTCCCTAGGGTAGCTGCAGGAAAGGAGGGCATACACAAAGTGGTCAGAATGGCCCTCGGCAGCAGGAAGCTCTGGGCACAGTGCAGTCAGCCTTGCCAGACAGGTGCAGGGCAGCCAAAGCAGGCTGGTAGCAAAGACCCCTCTGTGTGCTTCTGCATGCACAGCGCCTCAGGCAGCAGAGGCAGAACTCAGCAGCAGCCATGAAGCCTGCAGACTGCCATCTCTGGCCTGGCCCCAGTCCCCTCAGCAGCTCCCTCGGAGCCTCGCGGCCCAGCCCTGCACGCCCCTTTGCTGTGGACTGGAAGGAGGGGCAGGTGGGAGCTGTGCGTTGTTCCCAAGACCTGGCTCCTACTTGCCGGGCCTCTCTGCAGGGCGGCAAGAGTCCTGTGTACGCTGGGCCAGTCAGCCATCGCTGTTACCCTTCTCTGACCCCTGACACATGCATGCTTTTTCCATCATGGCACGGGTCTCTTGCTAACGTGGGGACCTGAGCCCTGCCGAGCTTATCTCCACAATGGATTTCCTGCTGGTGTTGGATCTGTCCCACTCCCTAATGAGTAATAATTTGTTGCCTGAACACACAGATATGCTGACATCCAAGATGCTGCTGGCCTTGGCAGACCCCAACTCCTACAGTGTGGGTGGGAATCTGCAGACAGTGACCCTAGTTGACCTGCACCACATGTCCCATATGTGGACGGAGGAAGAGCTGACTGGGCGGCGTGGATGGAAAGTCCATCCATCTGTGAGCTGTGTTCTGAGGCCTCTGGGTGCCAGACTCCGTCCTGGGCTCTGGGACACTGACAGGCTACGATCGCAAGTGGGCAGTGATCGCAGGCAGAGCACCGTCGTGGAGGAGGAGGGAGAGGGCCGGGGAGAGCCCTTGGAGCAGTGACGCTACCTTAGGTGCTCCAGGAGGGCCTCGGGGCTGTTTTATCGAAATCCTTCCTTTCTCGAAACTCATTCCTCAGCAGCGGTGCTTTTCTAGGGAAAGTGGAGAGCTCCTTCGGAGGTGATGGAGACAGTGCTTTGCCTCTGTGGTCTCCTCGGGCCATGCGGAGGTCCAGAGCATTGACGGTGGCGCCCGGGGAAGCCGCTCTCGGCTGCCCTCCGCCCTGGCATGTGACTCCACCCCACTCAGCCTCCTGTTGGAACCCAGAGTTCCCACGCTGATCCTAGCAAGTGTGTCCCAGGGGACCTGGCCTGGCCCCGGCCAAGAGGCCCGCTGCTTGGGACAGCTGCAGCTGACTTTCTTGCTTTGTATACCTATGCTCATTGCTATTTGCTCTGCTTTTAGACTACAGTGTGGTCAATGTCTCCAAAATTTCAGGCCCAAATTTTATGTTTGGGCCTAAGATGGTGGGAAAACTCGGCTTTCACCAATGGGATTTCAGGTGTAGCCAGAAGAAGCAGATGCAGCGCACCGGCTGCTGTGTGTGGTGTGCATTAGATACCCAGCGGCCCTCGCTGGTGGGACAGAGGTCCCTGCCTTGTCCAGGAAGCAGCAACGGTGTCAGAAGCCTGCAGGAAGCTCTCCACTACCCCTTCTTGCCCTCCTTCACCCCACATCCTCCAGCCCCTCCCACTCCTCTCGCCCTGGCCTGGAGAGACAGAACTTGCCAACAGGAAAAGATGCACTAAGCGCAAAGAAATGCAGTGACTCCAGACTTAACCCCAGAGCAGACCTCATCCACGCTGGGGCTGGGGCTGTGCTTTGCGATGGCCGTCATTGTCTAGCTATGCAGAGCGGGGCGCTGCTCAGGCTGGGAGATAAGGGGCTGAGCTGGCCCCGGGCACAGCTCTCTCCAGGTGCCACCACGTGGAGAGGAAGCCTGAGCCTGCAGGACCCGCGCCCCCCACGGCTCTGGCGTGAGCCTTATCTGTGGTGACTTCACTTCCCCTGGGTGTGTACACTCTCCCTGAAGGTCCCAAAGAGTAAATCACTTGGCTGATGGTGTGGGAGCTTCTGATAGCCCCAGCTGTGCTTCTCCTTCGGTCCCTGGTGGTCTCGCTGATAGTGGAGGATGGATAATTGCTTGGGGAGGAGAGTGTGTTTTTTTAAGATAAGATTTGACCCTGAGAAGAAGGAGCCCTCCAGACGCCTCTGCAAGGGCCAGGAGAGAGGGCTGGGTGCAGGCCACGCCTGTTCCCCCTCGCCGGGGCAGTGTCCAGTGCTGAGGGCCCCAGGCGAACGCTGCCTTGGAGGGAGCTCAGCCCAGGCACTGCTGTGGCCTTCTGCTTCCCTGGTTTGGAACACAGCGACCAAACACTGAAACACTGGAACACTGCTGTTTGTATGCCTTCATCTGAGAAGTGTGTGTTCATCTCAGATGCCTACTTTTAGACTGGATCTTTGAATTTTGGGGGCCCCATTTTTATTTTCAATTCTTTATATGTTTTAGATAGAAATCCTTTGTCTGAGGGTTGACTGGTATAATTTCTTCCAACTCTGTGGGTTATCTTTTTACTTTGTTAGTGATTTCTTTCATTGTGCAGGAGCTTTTTAATATGGTGAGTTGCTTTTTTTTTTTTTTTATACCAAGAAATGAACTCAGAACATTGCACTTGTCATGCAAGTCCTTATGCTGCTGTGCCAATTCCTCGGCCCAAGATCCCATTTTTTTATTCTTTGTAGTGTTTTCTGCACAGTCTGGGTTTTGTTCACGAAGTCTGTTTACACCTGTGTCTTCAAGTTCTACTATTTTCTCTTCCAGTATGTTTAGTGTTTCTGTTTTAATATTTAGATCTTTGACCCATTTTGCCTTTAGTGCATGAGCCAGCAGTTTTAGCATAGGCAGAGGAGTACAAACTTCACCACTACCTAATTGCTAAGTGTTCCATAAGCAACCACATACCCGGTGTCAGCCACTCCCACACCTACCCTCTCCATTTCCCATAACCACAAAGCTGCTTCCTGCTTTTAGGGACCTGTCTGGGAATTTCTATAAAGATAACAAGTGATACTGAGCACAGTGCTTTCAAGGTTCATCCAGTGTTATGATTTCATTCCTTTTCATAGCTGAGTGCTATTTCCCTATGTAGTACTATTTCACGTTTTGTTTATTCATCAGTCGGTAGACATTCGGGTTGTTCCCACCTTTGGGCCATTTGAATGATGCTGCCGAAAGTAACCATGTGCAAGTTCCTTGTATGGGCAAGTGTTTCTCTTTCTCTTGGGTATTATATTATGCTGATGGGCAAGTTACTGGCTCCTACGGTAACTGTATAGTGCACTATTTGTGGAATGGCCCACCTGTTCCAAAGCACTGGTGCTGTTTTATGTTACCACCAGCCAGGTGTGAGGGCCAGCCCTGTTCTCACCAGCGCTGATTATTCTGTCTCTTCTTACTATAGGGACTAGGAAGGGACAGCTCCTTGTGGCTTTGATTTGCATTCCTCTGAGGGCTGATGGTATTGAGTATCTCTTCATGTAGTCACCATTTATTAGTATATCTTCTTTGAAGAAATATCCATTCACATCCTTTACTCATTCTTAAATTGCAATGTTTACAACTTTATTGTGGAGTTGTCAACCCTCTTTATATATTTTGGATACAGGTTCTATACCAGATACATGACTTGCAAATATTTTCTCCCCACCTTGAGTTTGTTTCTTTACTTTCTTTTTTTTTTTTTTAATTTTATTTATTTATTTGTGTGTGTGTGTGTGTGTGTGTGTGTGTGTGTGTGTGTGTGGCCAGCTCAGCCCACCAGGGGGCGGGGCTGGCTGGCATGTGGTGCTGGGGGATTGAACCGCGGTCCCTGTGCTTTGCTAAGCTTGCTCCAAGCAGGTGCTTTAGACCACTGAGCCATCTCACCAGCCCCTGTTTCTTTACTTTCTTAGCAACATGCTTAGAGCCACTGGAGTTCTAATTTTGATGAAGTTCAGTTTACCAATTTCTTTTCTCTGGTGCTTGTGCTTTTGGTGTTCTACAGCCTAATCTGAGATCATGAAAATGTACTCTATGCATTTAGAAACACGATCTACTTTTCGATAGCCTTAGGACGCCTAATGACTCTTCCTAGACCCACTTCCTGGATGCGGAAACTAAGAGGTCCATGCCAGAGCTGGGATTTACACGCAGCTCCTCTGAGCCCCACTCACCTCTCCTGTGCCTCCTCCAGAGTGCTTGCCCTCTGCAACCCTCACAGGACAGGACTGTGGCTGGTGCTCTGTGGGGCACAGGTGATGCATCTGGGGTGGACGGAGGACAGGCCCCGCAGGTGTGCAGGGCGCTCTTCCCATGGGCTCGGGTGTTGCACAGCTCACTGGGTGCTGAAAGTTGCTTAGTGGCTCTGTCCTCTCCCTCCGCAGTGTCTCATTGTTGGTGGAGGACCCTGTGGCTTGCGCACTGCCATTGAACTTGCCTACCTGGGAGCCAAAGTGGTCGTGGTAGAGAAGAGGGACACCTTCTCCCGGAACAATGTGCTGCACCTCTGGCCTTATACCATCCATGACCTGCGGGGCCTGGGAGCCAAGAAGTTCTACGGGAAGTTCTGCGCTGGCTCCATCGACCATATCAGTGAGTGGGTCATGATCTGGCTAGGTTCTGGGGGCCATATCTGTCCCCACCCTGGAGACTCCAGCTGCCGAGCCCCTGTGGGCTCCATACATCCAAGTAGCAGGCATCTCCTGAGGGCCTGCTTTGTGCCTTGGTCTAGGCCCTGTGCAGCACCCACCAAGCTGTGCGCACCAGGAAGCCAGGGATATGTCCCATTCCCTAGCACCTCTATCCCCAGGCCACCCCAGGGTGCTCGACCCACAGTGGATCCTCAGTAAACATCTGTTGAATGAATGAATGAAATATGGAAGCCAGAGGTAGGAGTAAGTGGCAGAGCCCAGGCTCCAGGAAGCTCACCAAGATTTTGCCAGTCATAAAATGTGACTTGTGAGCATCAATCACCCTTCCCATTAAGTGGTCCGAACCATGGCGACCTGGCATAAAGGAGTCTGGACCCTGCATTGCTGGTGCCAGGGAGCCACAGGAGGCTGTAGAGCAGAGGAATGACACAATTGAAGTGGCATTGTGAGACCAGTCTAATGCCAACGTTTCCTGGGGAGAGAAGCCATTACAATGTGACTTCGGGAGAATAGGGAAGAAGTGGGGTCTGAGTACCTTGGGTCCCAGCATCACTGAGCGCTTAGGAGAGCCGGGCCCTTTGCTCTGAGGCTGGGCCTCTCTGGGTGAGGTCTGGGCAGCCTGGTTGTCCGGGAGGGAGAATCCCGGCTCACAGCTTTGCAGTGGGGAGGTCTTTAGCCCTTTTGTAGAGCAGTGGAGACCTATTAAAGTGAGGGTGAGTATAATGTTTGCATCCACTTGGTTCCAGAATCTGTGTCTTCAATTTCTATCTGACTGGAGATAGAAATCCCTTATCATCTGCAAGCCCCTGCTTCAGCCAATGTCAAGTGTGATTGACATTCATCTCCCAGGACTGCTGGGGTCAAACAAGGTCCAGCTGGCCACACGCTTAGCACTACAGTGCCTGGCCCATAATAGGTGCTCAGAAAAATGTGTTGCCTCTACTGATATTCACTGGGCAAAAAGCAGCCGCAGCCCCCAAGCCTGCACCCCCTGAGCTGTGTTTTCCCAGTCTGTGCTTCTTTGTGGGGGCGGGTGAGAGGAGAGTAGCAGAGCCACATTCCTACAAGGAGTAGAACTGGTGGGAAAAGGAGCAGGCTTGGGGTGGGAATGGCTGGAGGGAATTATCAGCCACAGAGGGTGTAATTTATTCAGATGCAGAATTTACCAGCAGTGGCCTGAGCTTATTCCCACTGTAGGATGAGAAAATTCCAGGGAGTCCAGTGGAAAGAAAGTCAGACTTGCCCAGAAAGCTACTGCGTCAGGCTTCAGGATGATCTGCCCCACCCATGAAGAGCGAGCCACTTAGGGATGCACGGCAACCACACTGGGCACGACTTTCTTATGGGGTCCCCTGAGAGCAGGGCCATGGGCTGGGGTCACAGCCAGGAGCCCCTCCTGCCTGCATTGTTGGGGCCCCCACTACACCACTAGTCCTTGGGGATATCCCAGTGTGCAGTGTTCTATCCATGAGACTGAAGCAGCAGGGCGATTGTTGTCAAGGCTCCAGGCCCCAGGAGGAGGAGGAGGAGGAGGAGGAGGGGGAGG